AACACAGGTAACTGTAGCGATATAACACAGGTAACTGTAGCGATATAACACAGGTAACTGTAGCGATATAACACAGGTAACTACGTAGCCCATATCCGCACTAGAACATCAATGGATTTAAGCAGGATGATCTGTGTCACATTTACCATGTTGAACGTATTAACACATGTGGATGTATTGACTTTCCAAAATATGTATACGTCTATAGAAATAGCCGTACCTTAGCAAAGTACCAGTTGATGGGGGGATATGTTCATTTTCGAGTCCATTAACAAAGTCTGAGGCTTCTCTCGTGTACACTCAAATAATAAGATTATAAAATGACAGATTTTAAAATTAATTTCAAATTATAAGATTGTAAGTAGACAGATTTTAAAATTAATTTCAAACTATAAGATTGTAAAACGACATATTCTTACATTTATTTCACATTATAAGATTATAAATAGACATAATTTTCAAAGGCATATTTTAAAACTTATTTCAAATTATAAGATTATAAAAAGACATATTTGTAAAAGTTTAATTCAGATTATAAAATATTTCAACCCTTTACAAACTATATTCTACAACGATTATATTTGTGCCTTTGAAAAGTTCTCAGTATTTCATTTCTTCACTGAATCTTTCTGTCCGCAAAGATGATTCAAAAGAAGATTCCTGGCACAAAGTGGTTTATATTTTTATCTGGGCACCCTTCCCTAATGTATCCACCAAACACAACACCCACTCCACTGTACCCCTTCCACAATCTATCCATGAAACACAGCGCTCAATTCTCTGTACCCCTTCCACAATTTATCCACAAAAACAATGTTTACTCCACTGTACACCTTCAACAATGAATCCACGAAACACAGCGCTCAATTCCATGTACCCCCTTTTCCGATGTTTACACGAGCATGACCCCTGCGTAACCCATGACCAATATCACAATTCACGTGACTCTTCCATTACCGAACTCCCCCACCCCGTCCCTCATCGTGAAACGATCCTTCACTCGCAGACCCCCCCCCCACTGTCGAGTTGACAGCCATCTTAGAGGTTAAACAACTCTATCAACCTAATTGGCTGCTTAAATTGTCATCGCTATAAATTGTTCAGACACTCAGAAAGAGGAATTGCTGATTCATTGTCACTGTTATAAGTTGTTCAGACACTAAGAAAGCTGAGCGGCTCATTGTTATAAATGTTTTGACCACTGAGGGAGCCATAAAATGACTATGCTATAACATAAGAACTGCGGTGACGTGCTGCTTCATTTGGGTTTAGCTCCTGACTCCGCCCAAATCTCAACCCTCTGACCACGCCACTGCACGCTTCTCATCTAAACCACGTAAAATCGACCTGGCCTGTCTACAAATAACATAGCCTCAAAGCCCCAACACTCGTGTCCGTGGTTTTCCGGGTCAAGGTGACATCAGAGCACAGCTCCCAGTTGTTGAACTCGGGGGGGAGGGGGGGTTTGTTTACAAAATTGTTGGCTGAATATGTCTCCCCGTTTGACGAGGCCAAGACTGAACGTGTCTCCCCGTTTGATGAGGTCAAGGCTGAATGCGTCTCCCCGTTTGACGAGGTCAAGGTTCAATGTATCTCCCCGTTTGACGAGGTCAATGCTGAATATGTCTCCCCGTTTGACGAGGCCAAGGCTGAACGTGTCTCCCCATTTGATGAGGTCAAGGCTGAATATGTCTCCCCGTTTGATGAGGTCAAGGTTCAATGTGTCTCCCCGTTTGACGAGGCCAAGGCTGAATGTGTCTCCACGTTTGACGAGGCCAAGGCTGAACGTGTCTCCCCGTTTGACGAGGCCAAGGCTGAATGTGTCTCCCCGTTTGACGAGGCCAAGGCTGAACGTGTCTCCCCGTTTGACGAGGCCAAGGCTGAATGCGTCTCCCCGTTTGACGAGGTCAAGTTTCAATGTGTCTCCCCGTTTGACGAGGTCAATGCTGAATATGTCTCCCCGTTTGACGAGGCCAAGGCTGAACGTGTCTCCCCGTTTGACGAGGCCAAGGCTGAATGCGTCTCCCCGTTTGACGAGGTCAAGGTTCAATGTGTCTCCCTGTTTGACGAGGTCAATGCTGAATATGTCTCCCCGTTTGACGAGGCCAAGGCTGAACGTGTCTCCCCGTTTGACGAGGCCAAGGCTGAATGCGTCTCCCCGTTTGACGAGGTCAAGGTTCAATGTGTCTCCCCGTTTGACGAGGTCAAGGCTGAATATGTCTCCCCGTTTGACGAGGCCAAGGCTGAACGTGTCTCCCCGTTTGACGAGGCCAAGGCTGAATGCATCTCCCCGTTTGCCGAGGTCAAGGTTCAATGTGTCTCCCCGTTTAACGAGGTCAATGCTGAATATGTCTCCCCGTTTTTCGAGGCCAAGGCTGATCGTGTCTCCCCGTTTGATGAGGCCAAGGCTGAATGCGTCTCCCCGTTTGACGAGGTCAATGTTCAATGTATCTCCCCGTTTGACGAGGTCAATGCTGAATATGTCTCCCCGTTTGACGAGGCCAAGGCTGAACGTGTCTCCCCGTTTGATGAGGTCAAGGCTGAATGCGTCTCCCCGTTTGACGAGGCCAAGGCTGAATGCGTCTCCCCGTTTGACGAGGTCAAGGTTCAATGTGTCTCCTTGTTTGATGAGGTCAAGGCTGAATATGTCTCCCCGTTTGACAACGCCAAGTTCCATCAAGTTGAGAACGTTGTTACGGTGCTCAGCTATGTTTGTTGCCATGATAATTTTTATCGTTGTAGTTTTTTTTGTTTGTTTTTTTTTTTTAAAACCAGGAAGCAATGTAATTTATGTTTGATACACAGTCCCGGATGTACAGACATGGAACCTTTCAAGTGGGCATGACGCAAACACCAGGAAGCAATGTAACTTATGTTTGATACACAGTCCCGGATGTACAGACATGGAACCTTTCACGTGGGCATGACGCAAAGAAGCACATCCAGAGTAAAGTGCATGCTAATTTAACAGTTGTGTTAAATGTGTTAAAGATGAAATGCTCCTTTTTTTTCTTTTTTTTTTAATTCATAAATTCAGGGCCGTGCGAAAGATTGGGGCACCCGCCCCGGGCGCCAACACGAGGGGCCTCGTATGACCTTAATAGTGAATTAAACGATGAAATCCGATGTACGTCACAAAGACAAGGGGCGCTAAAATCCCCTTTTTACCGGTCCGCCTCGGGCGGCACTTGTTTTCTTTCTGTTGATGGGGTGCCGTTATCAGGATTCGCCCTAGGCGCCGCTTTTCCTCGGCACCTACATTAGATTTTTTTTTTCATGCAATATCCATTTGCAGATCCAGAACTAAAATACACGGTGTGGGTGGAGGGTGGGGGGGTGTTATCATGCAATGTATTTATATGCATCTGAGAGTTTGGATCACACCAAATTTCTATCTGGGGATATTTTAGGAATTGTGCAAAAACAACAACTTTTTCAAACAAAAAAAACAATAAAAAAAAGTATAATGAACGTGTTAGCCGGAAAGTAACAAGTTTTGTAACGCTACGCATGCGTCAAGGCGTGGGGGGGTGGGGTGGGGGAGTGGGGGGGGAACTCACTGGCGAAAACTCACCCCTCCCCACATAAGTATGTATTTAATTCATAGCAACTAAAGTGAAACATAATAATGAATATGCCGGTTTATATAATAGAATACATGTAAGTTAACCGGTTTGGCCTACTTATAAAATAAGCACCTTAGTAGGTGACGATAAAATGCATGGATGCATTTTGGGACGGACCTGAATTTAGTTGTTTTTTTGTTTTTTTTGCATTTGTAGTAAACTTTAAAAACTTTAATCAATAGGACAGCGACAAGTGGGGTGCTAGTGTCGATGCACGTCGTGTGGGGGGAAATTTCATCAGCTTACCACTACCCTGAAATGACATTTCAGTTTCAGAGTATGATAAGGTGATAGTGTGTGGCACTGCATTAAGTGTCGTGGATATGTCATATCATATGGGCTCTGCACTCAAATGTTTACCTGTTTATGTTGTTTGTTAGCTTGTTTGTTTTTTTCAGGGGGGGGGGGGTTAGGAAAAAGGAATGGGGGTTTTTTTTTAGCACCCCTTTTTTTCCTGACGCCCTAATAAGCACGTGCTACATATTGCATAGTGATTTGTCCGGCCCTGTGGACATTGTAGTTTGTAGAGGAAGATCATATTAATAGATGGGTCGCTCCTGGCGTGCCATTGGCTAAGCTTTAAATTTCATAACTTTTTTTTTTTTTCGCCTAACGCTAGGAACATAATCATTGGTCTTTTAATTTGTATTCTTTTCTTTCTCTTCTTTCCTCCCAAGGTGCATGTGTGTGTGTGGGGGGGTGGGGGTGGGGGTTGCGGGAAAGAGCTACTTATTTTATCTTTTTTTAAATTGTCTTAAAAGCTATACTATACCAACGCTAGTGCCCCGAGCCCCCCCCCCTTTTC